GAAAAATTAAGAGAAATTGGTCGAAATAATCCAATTGAAATAGTACCGCCAAAACCGACTGATATAGGAGTAATTATGTATACAAGTGGAAGTACAGGAGAACCAAAAGGTAAGACAATATATTATTTTTATTTTATTTTTCGAAATAAATATTTATGAATATAGGTTGTATGATTTCACATGAAAGTTTTATGTATGCACTATTTGGTCTTCTAGTTGCTCTTAATTTAAGAACAACATCAAAAACTGAAGAAACTCCTCGAGTATTAAATTATATGCCTTTAGCGCATATGTTTGGTTGTGGAACGGTCGTTGGTATAACTTATTTAGGTATAGTAAACATTCAAGTATTGTTAAGACCCTCCCCTCCCTTCATGTCTCAAAAATTGATCTTAGGTCAGGTACATTCAAATCATATGATATATTGAAACTGTAGTGGAGAAGTAATGGTAAAATGTTCATCCCTATAACGTGTCGTTTTCGAGAGTTATTCAACAAACAAGGATAAAAAATAGCTTATGGGACAATCTAAGATTCTCTGTGAGTCTTCATTCTATATACCTAATGTTTTGTTTTGTTTGAAAGAGTATGACAGAACACAGTTTTTAAATTCTTACTTTCTAAATAGAGAAAAGTTCTTTGTCTCAAAACATTTATCTTAATTTCACTAACTGATAAAATTGACTTTTCTTTTAAGAAAACTTAAGTAATATTTTCTCTGATAATTTTTTGTAGGTGGAGAAGTTGGTTTTTGGCAAGGTAAAGTTGATAAATTGATTGATGATTTTCACGATTTTCAACCAACAATTCTTGCAATGGTACCTCGTTTACTTAATAAATTATATGATAAAGTTCGATTAGAACTTCGTAAAAAAGGTATACTTGGTCGTATTTTATTTCGATTGGCTGTTCGAAGTAAATTAGCACTTATACGACGTGGAAATTTTTCGCAAAATACAATATGGGATAAAGTTATTTTTAACAAAATTCGTCAGTCATTTGGTGGTAAAATAAATCGTGTTATTTCATCGAGTGCACCATTATCATCTGAAGTTTGCCGATTTTCACGTGCTGCATTTTCATGTTTTTTTGTTGAAGCCTATGGTCAAACAGAATGTGTAATAGGTTGTTCACAAACAGTAAATGATATTGAATCAGGTGAAACTGGTATTCCAACATCAATGAATTATATTAAATTAGTTGATGTACCTGAAAAAGAATATTATGCTAAAGATGGTATTGGAGAAGTTTGTATTCGAAGTCCAGCTTTATTTAAAGGTTATTGGAAAGATGAAGTTAAAACACGTGAAGCTATTGATGAAGAAGGATGGCTACATACAGGTGATATTGGTCGATGGACACCACATAAGACAATGAAAATTGTTGATCGAAAAAAAAATATGTATAAAGTTAGTATCGATATTTATTGATGATAACTTTTCATCAAAGTTTTGAGTTAGATATTTACGGAATAGTTGCTATTCTCCATGTGAAAATTTAAAAGAATTTAAAGTTTGAGAAGTATATGTGATACATATACGTGAAAACAATAGATGAAAGTAACGAGCGATTGAAAAGTAATTCAACAAAATGTTCATTTACTCTTCAACCTCTTAAAGAAGCCGGTAGACATTTGAAAAAATTGGATTAGAATCAAAATTTGATGTTCTTTTCGAATACGAGTTCAAATATTTTTTAAGAGTTTCCCATTTATAAATAATGAGCCGATCTGTTAAAGGCTTGTAAATTAAATTTAGATGAACTTCAGCGTGTCAAAAATCATTTCAAATACAGAGAATTAAAGAACAAACATTCCTCTATAAAACGATATAGTGATGATCGGTTTTTTGCAAGTAATTTTTCAATAGTAAGTATTCCTACTAAGGAAAATCATGTACATTGATGCAATTTTCTTGATTTCTATGGAAAACTGACTTGAAAAATGAGTTCGGCCATTTCTGAATGATTGTTATAAAACTATTGATTATTATATCACTTTTGTAGAATACAATCTCGCCTTTAATTCTATGCTAAAAACTCGATAATACAACATATACAGTAAAGATGACTATTGCTGCAAAAAAA